GGGGGTGCTGGGTCGGGAGCTACTGAGCCTGGAGGTGCTGAGCTGGGAGCTGCTGAGCCTGGGGGTGCTGCGTCTGGAGCTGCTGAGCCTGGGGTTTCTCCTGCCGCTGCGTCTCGCCGGGAGCCCCTCTCTCCACAGGAGCTGCGCGAGTGGTTCGCTCGCCGCTGGAGGTGTGCTGCTGCGTCTGGAGGTGCTGCTGGAGCTGGAGCTGGAGCTTCTTCGACCGTCGAGGGTGCGGGTGCTGCCGGTCCCGGAGCTGCTGGACCTGCGGGTCCTCCTGGAGCTGGAGCTGCTGAGGGCGATGGTGCTGTGCCTGCTGCTGTTTGTCCTGCCGCTGGAGGTGTGAGTGGTGCTGGTGCTGTCGCTGAGGGTGGTGGTGTTGTCCCTGCTGAGTCTGGAGCTGCCGCGCGGCCTCGGCCGTACTTCGTTCCGCTCCTGCAGCAGGTTCTTGGTCTTTCTCCTCCAGTAGAGTGTCCACCGCCTGTCCAGTCGCAGTCCCTGCTGGAGCCTTCCTCTCCACTGCCTGCTCCCTCTCCTTACACTGGTCCTACTGGAGGTCTTGCTGAGCGTCGTGAGCCTGCGTCTCGTCCCCCGTCGCCTGTTCGTGCTGCTCGCGCTAGTGGCCGCAGTTCGCGTCAGCGTCCTCCCCCTGTCCCTGGCACACACCGGATGTCTTTGCGACCGTCCACTGCTCCTCTGCGTGCCCCTTTGCCTTCTCCTCCTGAGTCCTCTCTTCCTGCGCTTGCCGACCCTGAGTCGGACTCTCTTCGTGCTGCTAGTCCTACTGTCACGCGTCTGCTTGCTACTGTCGTCACTGACCCCTCTTTTGAGTCCACTGCTGCGTCTGCTCTAGTCGCTGAGCTCGTCGACTTTGCTGCTCGCTGTCGTCTCGACTACGCTGCTAGTCTTGTTGCTGAGTCTGCGTCTGTCTGTCCTCCGTCCGTCGGGGGTGAGTGTGCTCTTGGCACGGACGTCCTAGAGGACAGGCAGGAGGAGTTACAGTGTCTAGCGGCTGCTTCACCTCATCTCGCGTCTGTACTGCTTGCCCCTGAGGGAGACCCGGATGCACTAGACATCCCGACTCCGCGTTCTTACGCGGAGGCCGTAGAGGGTCCCTACTCCTCTCAGTGGCAGGCAGCTATGGATGCAGAGATGGCTTCCTGGAAGTCCACAGGCACCTACGTTGACGCGGTTCCCCCTCCTGGGGCGAACATTGTCAGTGGCATGTGGATCTTCAGGGTGAAGCGACCGCCGGGCTCTCCACCTGTCTTCAAGGCACGGTACGTTGCTCGTGGCTTCAGTCAGCGGCAGGGAGTTGACTACTTTCAGACCTTCTCTCCCACCCCGAAGATGACTACTCTTCGGGTGCTGCTGCACATAGCCGCTCAGCGCGACTACGAGCTTCACTCTCTCGACTTCAGCACTGCGTTCCTGCAGGGTAGCCTGCACGAGGAGATCTGGCTTCGCCGTCCACCTGGCTTCACTGGGACTTTCCCTCCTGGCACCCAGTGGAGCCTCCGACGGCCAGTCTACGGTCTCCGCCAGGCACCGCGTGAGTGGCACGACACACTGAGGACTACGCTTGCGGCTCTTGGGTTTGCTCCTTCTACTGCTGACCCGTCGCTGTTTCTTCGCAACGACACTTCCCTGCCGCCGTTCTACATCCTCGTGTACGTCGACGACTTGGTCTTTGCCACAGCAGACACTGCTGGACTCGCCTACGTGAAGTCCGAGCTGCTGAAGAGACACACGTGCACAGACCTGGGTGAACTGCGCAGCTACCTTGGCTTGCAGATCACTCGGGACAGAGCACGCCGCACCATTACCTTGACTCAGTCACACATGGTGCAGCAGGTCCTTCAGCGCTTCGGCTTCACGTACTCCTCGCCTCAGGCCACTCCTCTGCCTACTCGCCACTCACTCTCAGCTCTGCCTTCGGATGAGTCCGTAGAGTCGAGTGGTCCGTATGCAGAGCTTGTTGGCTGCCTCATGTACCTGATGACCTGCACACGACCGGACCTTCCATACCCTCTGAGCATTCTTGCACGCTATGTTGCTCCTGGGAGACACAGACCGGAGCACATGGCTGCAGCGAAGAGGGTATTGCGCTACCTGTGCAGTACGTCGGGCATGGGGCTAGTGCTTGGAGGGCGGAGTCCAGTGGTCCTTACCGGCCACGCGGACGCTTCTTGGGCTGACGACCAGGCTACACAGCGGTCGTCACAGGGTTACACCTTCAGCCTTGGTTCCGGCTCTGTCTCGTGGCGGTCTACTCGCTCGTCTTCGGTTCTCGGCTCCAGTTGTGAGGCTGAGATCTACGCCGGGGCCATGGCTGCACAGGAGCTTCGCTGGCTCACCTACCTGCTGACTGACCTTGGAGAGCCGCCTCGTTCTCCTCCAGTGCTGTACGTAGACAACAAGGCTATGCTGGCCTTGTGTCGAGAGCAGCGCTTGGAGCACAGAACGAAGCACATTGCTCTCCGCTACTTCCTTGCTCGTGAGCTGCAGCAGCGTGGTCAGTTGCGACTTGCGTACGTGGCCTCTGAGGCCAACACTGCTGATGTGTTCACCAAGGCACTCGCGCCTTGTGACCATCAGCGCTTTTGCACCCAGTTGGGTCTTGTGCCTGTCTTGCCTCACTTGCTCTCCTCTTGACTTCACTTGTACTGTGACATATATATATACCTGCTCTTGTTTGTCTAGTTTTATATATATGTCTGTACTCCTGCATGTGAACTGGCCTCTGGCCCTACTCTTGTGCTCGGACTGTGTGGTGACTTTGTGATCCACCCTGAGCTTGCTTTGCTTTGCTTGACTGGTCTTGTGACCCCTTGTTCTCCCCCACTTTGCCTATGGGGGTGTGTCAGATTTATATGACATAGTTGCTGTAGGCTATAGTGGGGTAGCACATATGGGGTACAGGGTTTCTAGGGTTGCATTTGTACCCAATCTTTCCTTAGTCATTCCATTCCTGCTTACTCTTTTCACACTTCATGAATGAAGGGGAGTGTTGGAATAATCGAAAGGTTATTATAAGCATTCTCGAAGGTTTCCCACTAATGCATCAGTTCTTAACATAACAACGCGTTGTACCAGTACCTCAATAGCTCATATAGAGCATTCGGAAGGTCGAGAGTCACCCGAAGGTCAACAATCGAAGACAAGCAACGATCGTGACTCTTGACCGACCAGTAACCGCACTACAGTTAATCGTTGCAACATGGTTACTGTCGAGAAAAACAATTGTCGTGATTACTATAGTCATGCAAAACAGTTAATATGGAAATGTATCCCTCAGAGTACATGGCTAGTTAGTTTGCTATTTAAACCCTTGTACTTCTATCATATAATCATCTTGTTTTCTTTCAACTTATTAACGATGTCACTTTTAAGACTTAATTGTCTTCTCTCAGACTTCACAGGTTTATCCTATCCACTTCGATCCTTCCGTTATAACATCACTCGCTGCATTCATCTTCGCGTTGAAACTCAGTTACCTCAGGAATTTTTAACAACAATTCCATATTGTAACAGCTCGCGACATCGCATTACTGTTTTCGCTATAAACTATTTGCTCATGCCTTCTGTAATAAACTTAAGTGCTTGTAGAGCTCCAGCAGTATTAATTGCTTCTGGATTGCCTGGATGTGATACTTGTGAAGGGTGACACATGTCGGTGCTTCGAATCACTTGGCGTGCGAAGCCTCCCTACGCCACCGACAACTCCCTCCGTCAACCTAGACGTCCCACCGCATGCCGGTTCTGGTATTTGGCGAAGGTAGTGACTAGTGCAATGTGTGACCACCCAAGCCAGTCGGGTTACAGCAGTGTCAGATATGTCAGTTCCCGAAGACAGAAACTTGTTGGCGAAGCTTAGCGTGTCGGCGATTTGCGAAGGCTGATCGGCACCTGCTCACCAGCTTCGAAGAAAGTATGCGAATGGCGACAGTCAATTTTTTCTCTTGTGGAGGCTGGGACACTGAAGAAAACGTCGTCTTCCCTTGTCGTGGACTTCACCGTGCAGCACTCTTCCACGATGCGGTTATCAGTCGCACATATCACGCTGAATTTCGCACAAGAAACGTAAACCGTCCGATTTTCGATGTCGTGCCCAGTTTGACATCTCTCCGCCCATCCAACCCTCCATCGAGTCGTGTACATGGTTTTGGAGTGCAAGGTCAGCTCCGTCCATCATGGCTCGCTCGGCCCTGGACCTGGTCGTCATCGAAGTGTCAACCATGTTTGTTGAAAGCTGAAATGAACGATATTTTACGGGCAGTGTGGATTTTACCCGAAATGAACACGTCGAGTTCAGCTAGCTCGAGCTCCCATCACTTAAATCGAAAACCGACCCTTGATCTTAAGCAGGAAGCCCATGCATGTCACTTAGCATAGCGGAGGCATGACTCACGACTCAGAAAGTGCCCGTGAAATACCATCTATCAAAAGTGTCGCGACACGGCGAGCCTCCCATCGCTCGCATGTTGAGGATTCCTGGTATCGTCGCCCAAATCGCCTCCCTTTCCCTCTCACCCTCACGAATCCGCTCTCCAGTGCCAGTCAAACCCTTGCCCAGTCTGCTATGCACCTCCGCCCTCCCTCCGTCCATCCTTCACTTGCTTCGCTGTAGAATTTCTAGAAGCTGTTGACGTTGGCTCCATTGCCAGCATCACTACTTTCAAGTAATCTGGACGGGGGACGGCCGTCGTTTACCTAGCCGACTATTTTCCGTCGTCGCATGTTCGTCCAGCTTTACATTCAAACACCGTCACTCCAGCTCGTGTTTGGGGTAGTGCGCCGCATTTCAGAAGTACCGCGTACGTCCGGACCGAAGCATCTTTCACAGCCATCTCATTCAAGTGTGTGCGAAATTGACATCCCTACCCAGCTTCAGACAACCTAGCAATCGTCTCGCAGCCTATAAGTGAATATTCCGGCCCAGTAGCCGCTGTTAAGTACAAAACGAGCGCTTTTCTGAGTTCACTTGCCTAGTCGATATTATGGCGCAGCCAGGAAATGCAGCAGCAGCACGAGTCTCTCCTCTAACGCAGCAGCAGCAGCTGCAGCAGCAGCAGCAGCACAGCTTCGACCGCCGCGACAGGCGCGCGCAGTCGTTAGAATCGCAGAGGAAGCGCCACAGGGCCTCTGGTTTCGACCTTGACGCCTCGTCCGAGTCTCGCGCCGCCAAGTCCGCTAGAACCGGCGCCTGCGCTTCGAGTCAACCTTCCTCCTCCTCCATTCGCCCTTCCTCCTCTCAATCGTCCCCCAGCTCCTCCTTCCCCTCGGCCTCCCTCTCGTCTCGTGCCACCGAGATTTTCGGCACGCCGACGGGTCGTCTAGAGGATTATTTTGTGCTCGAATCGGCAGTGCTGGGTTCGGGGCAGTTCGGAACGGTGCGCAGGTGCGTCGAGAAGGCGACCGGGGCGCGCTTCGCGTGCAAGTCCATCTTAAAGAGTCGGTTAACCTCCGAGTCGGAACGCCACGACGTGCGGCGCGAGGTCGTGCTCATGCAGCGTCTCGCTGCGGGCGCGTCTTGCGGCGCAACTTCCGGCGCAGCTGGCGCCGCGTCTGCCACCGGGGCTGGCGTCGCCCCCGCGGGGTACAGCCCGCACGCGGGGGTGGTGCAGCTTCGCGCAGTGTTCGAAGACGACGCGGCCGTGCACATGATCATGGAGCTGTGCGACGGTGGCGAACTGTTTGACGAAATCGTGCGACGCGGGCGACTGAGCGAGCGCGACGCGGCGCAGGTTTTTAGCCAGATAGTGTCGGCTGTCGCCTTCTGCCACTCCCGCGGCGTGCTCCATCGCGACCTCAAACCCGAAAACATCCTCCTCGCGCGCTACCCCGCTTCCGCCGCCACGCCTGCCGCTGCAGGTACGCCGTCCGCCGGCGTTTCCCCCGCCGCAGCAGCCGGCGCGGGCCAGCGCGTCGTCGTCGCGAAGCTGGCGGATCTCGGGCTCGCGATTCCTCTCAAGCAGGGCGAGCGCGCGCGCGGCGTCGCCGGGTCGCCTTTCTACATCGCGCCCGAAGTCCTCCGGGGCGACTATTCCTTCGAAGCCGACGTGTGGTCTCTGGGCGTCATCCTCTACATTCTCCTCTGCGGCGCGCCGCCCTTCTGGGGCCCGACGGACAGGGACGTCTTTATGAAGGTGCTGCAAGGCGCGGTGGACATGGGCGGGGAGGAGTGGAGAGGGGTGTCAGAGGAGGCAAAGGGGTTGGTGCGGTGCCTGCTGCAGCGGGATCCCAGGAAGCGGCCACCTGCTGGGAAGATTATGACTCACCCGTGGATCCTGCTTAACTGCCTTGGTGGGAGGATTCTCAGGCAGCAGCTGGCGAAGAAACCCACTGCTGCTGGCGCGCCTGCTTCTGCTGCTGTTGCTGGAGCAGGAGCGTCGGCCCATGGTGCTGGTGCTACCGCTGCAGCCAGCTCACCTGCTACTCACTCAGCGCCAGGAGCAACAGCAGTAGCAGCAACATCAGCGGCACCTGCACCACAGCCACCAGTGATAGTGATCCAGCGGCAGCAGGTAGTGCTGGCAGCAGCTCCACCTGCCACTGCCAGCAGCCCATCTGGAATTCGGGTGTGAAGCGCCGACTTACGACACGTCTCAAAAGTCATTCTTCGCTCGACTGCGCCTGCTCCTGCCTCCCAATAAAGGCGGTGCCAATAATCCGCATCATGCAACTGACCCTCCGGGACTCTCCGGGTGCTCGTTTCCTCATGCCGCTGCTCTTCCTCTCCCCTTCCAATCCAACCCAGCTCCTTTACCTCATCACTACTCCTCTCCCGCCTTTCAGCCTGACTCCTCTGCCTAATCATTACTCTTCTCTCTTACTTGTCGGATCCTACGGGCATCAGCATGCCACGTGGCAACACAGGGGGATGCCAAGTCAAGCCTCATGAGCACAGCCGGCAGCAGCTAAACCCACCTGAACCTGCACTTCATACCTCGGTGCAGTGTCAGGGCTTGTGGAAACTGCTCGGCTACAGTAACACTGATCTACACCACCAAGTATATAATCGCTCTTGGTTGGTGTACAGCGTTACCTGGTTACACTGTGAGGCTTGGCTTGGCATGTTACCTGCCACTGGTGCATGCTGCGAAAGGACTGCTTCATTATGTGTGCAAGGTACAGTACCAGTACAGGGCGATGTTGATGTACCTGCTAAGCAGCCGCTAGTCATACCTCCCTAGACGAAATCTTTACATAACTTTTCTGCTAGTACATACTGCCGCAAGAGAACCCTTAGTAGTTTGGCCTGTGCGCTGCACTGCTTGTGCACAACTGTCTGTGTTCCCAATAAATTAGACCGACCATGTGTACTTGTGTGATCAGAATCAACATGTTTTGTCAATACCGTGGTTGCTTCTCCTCGTAAGTTCAACTTCCATCCACCTAGGCTTTGTTGGAAACAAGTGATTTAAGCGCCGCTGTCGCGTCGAAACACTAAGTTGTAAACGAAACGAAACACAGCGAAGCATCAGCGAGTCAACCTTCGGAGGTTGAGCAACTGCTGGAGGTTACGCAAAAGTCAAAGGTCAGCGACCTTTGACCTGACAAATACAGCGCGACAGCAAGGACAAACAACTGACTCGTTATTGAGCAGTTGCCCGAGTCGTCACTGTATCGAACCGCAACAGCAATAGTAAAATGGTTATTAACTGTATCTCTTCGTATTCCTTGTATTCTTGCCCTCACATACCAGCGCAAGGTTGATGTCAGAATGTTATAATTGTCTAGCCTACAATGGGGTACTCTATAGCGAGTACAACCCAATTAGGTTTTCCTATATGTATGCCAACTGCTGCTAGTGCAACCCCTCTTCTCTTATTCCTCATTCTTCACATGGTATCAGAACATCTACGCTCCTGGCCTGTGGGCCCACCTAACTGCTTCCGCTGCTACTCTGTGTGCTGCACGCCCCGTGGCGTGCGACGGAATTGTTCTTTCCGTCGGCCGCCCTCGTGTCGAGCACTCCTAGAGGCCCCTCTCACGGCCCCACGCGCGACCCTTAGCGGCCCCGTTGCCACTCCTCGCGGCCCCGTCGCCGCCCTTCTCGGCCCCTCGCGGCCCCTTCGCGGCCCCGTCGCCGCCCCTAACGGCCCCGTCGCCGACCTTTCAGGCCCCTCACGGCCCCTTATCGGCCCGTCGCCGCCCTTCCAGGCCCCTCGCGGCTCCTTCGCGGCCCCGTCGCCACCTCCAGCGGCCCCTTCGCCGCCCCTTGCGGCCTCGTCGCCGCCCCTAGCGGCCCGTCGCCGCCCTTCCAGGCCCCTCGCGGCCCCTTCGCGGCCCCGTCGCCGCCCCTATCGGCCCCGTCGCCGCCTCCAGCGGCCCTGTCGCCGCCTCCAGCGGCCCCGTCGCCGCCCCTTGCGGCCCCGTCGCCGCCCCTTTCGGCCCTGCCTCGACCCTGCCCCGGCCCCGCCCCGACCATGCTCCGTCGCCTGTCGCGGCGCACCGGGGGCACGTGCACCGCCCCCCCCTCTTTTCCCGTCGCCCGTCGCGGCTCCCTGGGGGGCCGCGACCTGGGGGGGGGGGGGGGGGGGCGAGCGTCGCCCCTTCTGCCGCCTGTTTTGGCGCCGTGGGAGGCCGCGCGTCGGGCCTCCCCCCCCCCCGTAACCTCCCTACCCGTCGCCCGGCCCTGCCCTGTGTTCGGGTTTGGGGGTGGCGAGTAGGGGGTGGCGGGTGTGTGGTCTCCCCTGCTCCTCCTCCTCCGTTGTCTCCCACTGCTGCAGCTGCCGCTGAGGGGGGTGGGTGTGTGGGATTCGACGGAGTGGTGCTAGGGGGTGGGGTGTGAGTGAACCTAGGATGCAACAAGGGGTGTGTAAAAGGGGGGTGCTGTGGGAGTGGAACTAGGGTTTGAGCAGGGGGTGTGTGTCGAGGGGTGTGGGGCAGCTAGAGGAGGTTGTGTGAAGGTAGCTGTCGTGTTGCCTGCAGCGCCTGTAGTCCGTCGACCTTGCTTCGGTAGCCAGCGAGCCTGTTGCACCAGTCGTCAGTGGGTCCGTTGCTCCCGCCGCTTGTCTATAGCCGTGGAGCCAATTACTCCAGTAGTCCGTCGCCCTTGCTTCGGTAGCCATTGAGTCAGCCGCTCCTGTGCCCGTGCCTCTGCAGCTTCAGTCGTTGCCTCCCATCTTCTCTCCCTCCACAATTCCTCCTCCTCCTCACTTGCCCACTGTGATTAACTCTAGCTTTGCTCGCTATTGTGAACTCCTGCTCTATGCGTGCTTGCTCATTGTCAAGAATAATATATATTTCTATATATTGTTTTGTAACTGCCTGTAGTGTAGATTAGTGTAGTTATATAATGTTCTGTTTTGGTGGTGCACCTTTCATCTTGCCTATATGTACTGCTCGCTCTATAGTGAAAACCCTTCTTCTCTTTTCAATTCTCTCGACTCTACTCAACTTACTCGAACTCACCTAGCTATGGCTCCTTTAGCCTAGCTAAGCTTTTGACATGGTACAGAGCACGTAACGCTCCTGGACTCCTGCTTCCGCTGCTACTAAGTGTTCTGCACGCCCCGTGGTGTGCCCTACTCTCGCGCCCCCTCTGCCGCTTGCTTTGGCGCCCGGAGAGGCCGTGCGTCGCCCCCCCCCCCCCCCTCTTCTCCTCCTCCTTTTGTTCCCTCTGCTTCAGCTGCCGCTGGGGGGGAGGGTGTGGGAGTGTGGGGGAGCCCGGGGAGGGACTGGGGGTGGCGGGTGTGGGGGTGATGGGTGATGTGTGGTCCCCTGGCCCTACGGCCCCATTCTCCTCCGTTTACCCCCCCCCCCCCCCCCCCTCTGCTGCTCCTGCAGCAGTGTGAGGGGGATGGGGAGGGGGAGGGGGAGGTTGAGGGGATGTAGGGGGTGACCAACCAGAGCCTACCACCTCCTCTCCTCTCTCTCTCCTCTCTCCCTTCTGTTCTCTGTTTTCTGCACTGGTTGTCACTGCTCCTGCCTACTGCTGCTACTTCAACTGCACTCTGCTTGGTGTACCCCATTATGGGGGCGTTGACTGCATATTCTTCCCTACAGGCACTTATGGGGGCGTGTCAAGAATAATATATATTTCTATATATTGTTTTGTAACTGCCTGTAGTGTAGATTAGTGTAGTTATATAATGTTCTGTTTTGGTGGTGCACCTTTCATCTTGCCTATATGTACTGCTCGCTCTATAGTGAAAACCCTTCTTCTCTTTTCAATTCTCTCGACTCTACTCAACTTACTCGAACTCACCTAGCTATGGCTCCTTTAGCCTAGCTAAGCTTTTGACACTCATTGTGCTGATTACACCCCACTTTGGCTATGGGGGTGTGTCAGAATGTTATAATTGTCTAGCCTGCAGTGGGGCACTCTATAGCGAGTACAACCCAATTAGGGTTTCCTATATGTATGCCAACTGCTGCTAGTGCAACCCCTCTTCTCTCATTCCTCATTCTTCACAGTTGACTCGCCGATGCTTCGCTGTGTTTCGCGTCGCTTATAACTTAGTGCTTCGACACGACAGAGGCGCTTAAGTTACTTGTTTCCAACACTCCCCTTCGCTTCTGGAGTGTCGCTGCAGGTGACGTGGCTCTGTCTAGTCAACAGCATGCAATACTCAAACTTTTGCTTTCCGAGTTTCTTGGTCAAGTAGTCAGCTGCCATCTCGGACGTGGGGCAGTAAGATAGCTCGAGTCTCCCTTTCTCCATCTCGTCCTTCAGGAAGAAATATCGCAGGGCGATGTGCTTCGTCCTGTTCGCGAATCCATTTTGTTGGATATGCGAATTGCCGACTGGTTGTCGCAGATGAAGGAGAAGCTGGGTAATTGAGCCAGCTTCGCTTCCTCCAGGAGTTCACGAAGGTACAGACCTTCCTTGGTGGCTGAGCAGAGTGCGATATATTCTGCTTCAGCTGAGGAGAGGGCGATTAACTCCTATTTGCTCGACTGCCACAAGATAGGTCCGATAGGTTCGAAGCGATAGATGTAGCCGGTGCGTGAGCATCTGTTGTAGGAGTCGCCAACGTGATCGGCGTCGACGTAGCCGATCAACTTAGGTGTCGAGGTTCCGTTCTTGTGATAAGTCAAGCCGATCGTCGGAGTGCTAACGAGGTAGTGAAGGGCGCGGTCGAGCTCCGCCATGTGTTCTGCCTCGGGCCCTTTGAGGTAGGTGGCGAGTTGACTTGTAGAGTACGATAGATCCGGGCGGCAGGTGACAGCCGCGAAGAGGAGGCACCCCAGCTTTCTCTAGTAGTCGCGTATGCCTGCGGGCTTAAGCGGAGTGGAGCTTTCTTTGTTATTTCCTGCGGTGTAGCGGTATGGCGTGGAGATGGTGATCGGGGTGAGTCCGAAGCGTTTAGCGATAGTGTCGGCATATTTCGCGGCGTTGAGATTGATCGCGTCTACTTCCTCTTGAATGTTAAGGCCGAGATACTTCGTGACGGTAGACGAGACCGTGTGTGAGAATAGGAACGTGAATGAATGAACTATGAAATGTGTGAGTACAAGTACCAACCCTAATTGGGTTGTACCCCCTATGGGATACCCCACTATAGCCTACACAAAAGCATAAGCTATAAGTTCTGACACACCCCCATAGGCAAAGTGGGGGAGAACAAGGGGTCACAAGACCAGTCAAGCAAAGCAAAGCAAAGCTCACGGTGGATCACAAAGTCACCACACAGTCCGAGCACAAGGTCAAGGCCACAAGGCCAGTTCACATGCAAGACTAGACACATATATATATAAGGCTAAACAAGCAAGAGCAGGTATATATATTTATGCAAGAGTACAAGCAAGGTCAAGAGGTGAGCAAGTGAGGTAGGACAGGTACAAGTCCCAGCTGAGTGCAGAAGCGCTGATGATCACAAGGCGGAAAAGCCTTGGTGAAAACATCAGCACTGTTGGCCTCAGAGGCCACGTAAGCAAGTCGCAAGTGGCCACGCTGCTGCAGCTCACGAGCA